TACTTCACTCCTGTTTTTATTTCTTGCTTGGAAAATGACTGATATAAGTGATAGCACACCTGAGGAAGGTACACACCTCTTACTTACTCATTGATGAGGAGTTACAATCCTCCTTACTATGTCAACAAGGTTGATGTCAGTACTTTATAGTAGTACGTCTGATACATGCTATGTTTTATAGAAACTCTTAAAAGGGGAACAAGCAAAAAAAAAAAAATACACAAGGAAGAAAACCACCTCTGTTTAAGTGGTCCGGCTTCTGAATGTTCCCCCAAAATGTAGACTTGATACTCCAGTATTTCTGTTCTGTAATCGCACGTAACTTTATAATACAGACTCTGCAGTAAAACTGTTGCAAGACAATCTACATTTTGCTCTAAAATAGAAGTAATTAAGACATCTAGCAGTTGTTTGAAGTCATTATTTTAGCTTTCTTTTTTGTCTCTCTCTCTCTCTCTCTGTTAGGACTGTGTGAAAGCACAGCTGTAGAAATGTGAAATGAGAGTTTTTGACCTTTGAAGGGGTGCGAAGTAACACCTGTTTGGTACCGTTTAAAGCAGCGGTGTCATTTCCAGGACGAGGTGGCAGCGCACTGCAGCATTACACACACACAAAAGATCCCTTTGCTTTACAATGATCCTGGCAATCAGTATTTGCACATTAGATCCACATCTCGGTGAAACCCTGTTCTCTACAATTAGCGTAGGAGCAAATCCTCTTGTCGCTTAGTTATACAAATTTACATTTGCACTGATATCAACCATGTAGAAACAGCAAACATGCTTTTAAAAATTGCCAGGTACAGGAAGCATAAATGGTTCAACCATTTAACCAACACACACGTTCTCCATAGCTAGATCATGGACATGAAAGAGTCCGTAGAATGATTTTATACCGTACAAAGAGACCCTCACATACATAATTCTACATGAAGCCTACAAATCTTTAAATCTAAAACTAGTTTTTATGAACCCGCTGATTGTTAATGTTAGATTCCTAGAATGTCTTTCATAAAGTAGTAACCAATATTTTTAAAAGTTGCCACTTCTAGAATAGGTTTTACCTGTGAGATCATGTTTAAGTAATTTACTGCTCTGTGAAATGAAATCCACACATTTTTAAGAGTATTTTTATTTTTAACCAATATAAAATATGTTGATACAGATAGTCCTCGACTTACAATCACAGCTGAGCCCAAAATTTATGTTGCCAAGCGAGAAATTTGTTTAAGTGAATTTTGCTCCATTTTACGACCTTCCTCACCACGTTTCTTAAGTGAATCGCTGCGGTTCTTAAATTAATAACACAGTTGTTAAATGAATTCAGCTTCCCCATTGATTTTGCCTGTCAGCAGGTCGCAAAAGGGGATCACAAGACCCCAGGACATTGCGACTGTCATAAATGTGAGTCAGTTGTCAAGCATCCGAATGTAAGTCAGTGCCGTAACTTCAAACGGTCACTAAATGAATTGTTGTAAATCAAGGACTACCTGTACATAATAATAATAATAATAATAATAATAATAATAATAATAATAATAATAATAATAATAATAAAAAGTTGGAAGGTATCTTGGAGGTCATCTAGTCCAACCCCCTGCTCAGGCAGGAAACCCTATAGCATTTCAGACAAATGGCTGTCCAGTCTCTTCTTAAAAACTTCCAGTGTTGGAGCATTCACCACTTCTGGAGGCAGGTTGTTCCACTGGTTAATTGTTCTGTCAGGAAGTTTCTCCTTAGTTCTAGGTTGCGTCTCTCCTTGATTAGTTTCCATCCGTTGCTTCTTGTCCTGCCTTCAGGCGCTTTGGAGAAGAGCTTGACTCCCTCTTCTTTGGGGCAGCCCCTGAGATATTGGAACACTGCTATCATGTCCCCCCTCGTCCTTCTCTTCGTTAAACAAGACATACCCAATTCCAGCAACTGTTCCTTCTATGTTTTAGCCTCCAGTCCCCTAATCATCTTTGTTGCTCTATTCTGTACTCTTTCTAGAGTCTCAACATCTTTTTTACATCGTGGTGATCAAAACTGGATGCAGCATTCCAAGTGTGGCCTTACCAAGGCCTTGTAAAGTGTTATTAATACTTCACGTGATCTTCACGTGTAATAAAAGTATATTTTTCAGATGATCGAACACAACAAAATGCTGAAAATGCCTTTTATTTATTGTAGAAGGACGTTCTAAGGAATCTAGATCAGAGCTCTATGGCTGCCATCTTAAATACAATTATCTATTACATAGCCTCATTGAAGACAGTGGGACATTCGATCCATATAGACAAAATGACATCATAAAAGTAATAAGTCCAACTACTGCAACACTTTCATAATTTTCTTCAACCATTCTCGTAAAGTCTGCCTCTCTGAGCAGGTATAAAATTCGTATTGCAACTTGGGGAGAACAGAATAAACTCACATTCAAGATTTGAGCGAGGCCAATTTAGCACGTGCAATTTTAATCATGAAAGATGTGCAAAAGAGGCTATTTTTGGCAGTCAAAACAAATGTTGGTTTTTCAAGGCAAAGCATCCTTAGCAGAGGGGGTGGAGGTACATCTCCCAGAGTGTTCAAATAATGAAGCACCAAGATCTACTTGAAAAAGTTTGACTGTATTTCCAAGTTACAAAGTCTTCGTTTCTTGTAGAAAACCAAAGATTTTTTTTCTATTCTATCCATTTCCATCATTTATACCTTACGAGTCTCCCCCAATAAGCTGTCAAAAAGTCTCCCACTTTTTAAGTCTGGCTTCTTTTTATTCCATGATGCTATATCTCAGGGATAGTCAACCTTGGCTCTTTTATGACTCGTGGACTTCAACTCCCAGAATTCCTGAGTCAGCTTAGCTGGCTCAGGAATTCTGGGAGTTGAAGTCCACGAGTCATAAAAGAGCCAAGGTTGACTACCCCTGCTATATCTCAACGGTCCAAATTCTAGGCCAGGGGTAGGCAACCTTGAACAGGGCCTAGACCAGGGGTAGGCAACCTTGGCTCTTTTATGACTTGTGGACTTCAACTCCCAGAATTCCTGAGCCAGCCATCCTGAGGGGAAAGGGAGAGGTTTCCAAGCTGAGCCATGCCAGCTCAGGAATTCTGGGAGTTGAAGTTCACGAGTCATAAAAGAGCCAAGGTTGCCTACCCCTGTTCTAGGCTCACATTTGAATTATTTTTCCTTAAAACGATGATCAGGCTGTGATGAATTGTTAATACACCATACACAAAGATTTACATGTTCTTGTCATATTAAGCTTAATTTTTAATTTGTGCTTCTTCCAGAAAAACGCGGCTAGCCTTCATTTCTGACCCAGTTCTGAGAAGGTCTTTAAGAGGACGCAGAAGTATGAAGGTAGCCACTATCTGCAGCTGTTTCTCTTTAAAGATGTAGTTGCTTTAAAGAGTTGCAGACAAGTCCTGCATTTGTAGTTGAAAACCCATTGCACTTTGAAATACAATATATATCCCTCTTTTCCAAATTCACTATCTTATTTATTTGTTCTTCCAGCCTTTCCTGCAGCAATTTTGCACTGGGATAATACGGTACTGTTTTCTGATTAAGTGCGATGAAGCAAATTACCAACCTTTCTATAATCAAGTTCCCGGATTATAAATTTCATCAACAGAAGCACAATATGGTATAAACACTATGATTATGGGAACTAACATAGAATCTAAACCTACTCAAGCCTAGTACAGATAGTTCTCTATATACAACTATTCATTTAGCGACCGTTCAAAATTACAATGGCAGGGGAAAAACTAACTTTGACTAGTCCTCAGACTTATGACAGTTACAGCAACCCCACAGTCATGTGATAAAAATTCTTCGTACTTGGCAACCAGCCTGTATTTACAATAATTGCTTTGTCCGGCGTTATGTGTGATTGTCATTTGCAACCATCCCAGCCAACTTCCGACACACTCAATGGGAAAAGCCAGTTTCGCTTAATGACTTCAAGATCCAGGTAACATCTGCAAAGATTCGCTTAATAACCATGGCAAAAATGATTGTAAAATCAGATTGTGACTCAGTCACTTTGCTTCGCAATAGAAATTCTAGTCCCTATTGTGGTCGTAAGTCGAGGAGTCCCTGCATTTTTCCTGAAGAAATATTAAGCAACATTGTCTATGAAGATTCTCAGTCTATCCAGGTCATGGTTGTCCCAAAGGTGCTTTTTTCAAGAGGCAACTGGACTTTCTTGTTTTTCTTTGAAGACATTTCGCTTCTCATCCCAGAAGCTTCTTCAGCTCTGACTGGATGGTGGGGAGTGGAAGGAGCTGAGCTGAAATCAGAGCTGAAGAAGCTTCTTGGATGAGAAGTGAAATGTCTTAAAAAGAAAAACAAGAAAGTCCAGTTGCCTCCTGAAAAAGCACATCTTTGGGATTAAGCAACATTAACTAACCAAACCCCACCAATAAACAATATCTCAATAACTAAGATATTTCAGAACAGAATCCCTACGCTTGTTGCTTATAATGACGTTCCCTTAAGAGATTTCAGTAAAAAGATACCCACGTTTAAAGCTCATTTAAAATCTACTTACACATCAATAGCAAAATTGAGGTTGTGTTGTCTTTACAAAATATTGCATCTGCTCAGTCTGGGAGCCCAAGGCAAATAAGGCAAAAGTCTTTCAAAAACATTAATACTGTAAATATTTTTCTCGTACATAGGAATTAAAGCTTTAAGGTATAACCCAGGGGTAGGCAACCTTGGCTCTTTTATGACTCGTGGACTTCAACTCCCAGAATTCCTGAGCCAGCACGGCTCAGCTTGGAAACCTCTCCCTGTCCCCTCAGCGTGGCTGGCTCAGGAATTCTGGGAGTTGAAGTCCACAAGTCATGAAGGGGCCCTAGTTCCCCCATGCTGGCTCAGGAATTCTGGGAGTTGAAGTCCACGAGTCATAAAAGAGCCAAGGTTGCCTACCGCTGATATAACCAATACAGTACTTGAGGATGAGCGGTTATTTCCTGTGGATTGAAAATGCATATCTTCTCCTCGCTGGTGTAAATCTAGAGAGTCCACTGCATGTCGCTGAGCTCTGTGGGATCCGCCAGTCCTCCTTCGGCTTCCAAATAATTCATAAGAACAGCCATGGCAGTCTCTTTTTCAAAATCTAACTGAGAAGGGCCACCTACGGATGGAAAAATAAAATAAAATAGCATAAATGCCGTTATTTTATAGCCCACAGGAAAAACGATAATGCCAAAACGATACTCCATAATTCACTGCATCCAGTTTTGGTCACCACGATGTAAAAAAGATGTTGAGGCTCTAGAAAGAGTACAGAGAAGAGCAACAAAGATCATCAGGGGACTGGAGGCTAAAACATATAAGGAACGGTTGCTGGAATTGGGTATGTCTAGTCTAATGAAGAGAAGGACGAGGGGAGGATAAGATAGCAGTGTTCCAGTATCTCAGGGGCTGCCACAAAGAAGAGGGAGTCAAGCTATTTTCCAAGGCGCCTGAAGGCAGGACAAGAAGCAACGGATGGAAACTAATCAAGGAGAGAAGCAACCTGGAACTAAGGAGAAACTTCCTGACGGTCACAACAATTAACCAGTAGAACAACCTGCCTCCAGAAGTGGTGAATGCTCCAACACTGGAAGTTTTTAAGAAGAGACTGGACAGCCATTTGTCTGAAATGCTATAGGGTTTCCTGCCTGAGCAGGGGGTTGGACTAGATGACCTCCAATGTCCCTTCCAACTTTATTATTATTATTATTATTATTATTATTATTATTATTGTTGTTGTTGTTGTTGTTGTTGTTGTTGCTGTTGCTGCTGCTGCTGCTGCTGCTGCTGCTGCTGCTGCTGCTGCTGCTGCTGCTACTACTACTACTACTACTACTACTGCTACTTATCCGAAGAGATTCCTTCCCCTTTTGGCACTCAAGTAGAGTTAGTCCTCAAGTTACGACCACAATTGAGGCCCAAATTTTTGTTGCTAAGTGAGACGTTTGTTAAGGGAGTTTCGCCCCATCTGACGACCTGCCTTGCCGCAGTTGTTAAATGAATCACTGCAGTTGTAAAGTCAGTCAAGCGGCCGTTAAGGGAATCTGGCTTCCCCCATCGACTTTGCTCGGCAGAAGGTTGCAAAAAGAGGATCACATGAGCTTGGGACACTGTGACGGTCGTAAGTACATGCCAGTTGCCAAGCGGCTGAATTTTGATCACGTGATCATTGAGATGCTATAATGGTCGGGTGAAAAACGGTCACTTTTTTCACGGCCGTTGTAACCTCAAATGGTAAGTCGAAGACTATCTGTATGACCGTAATTGAGCCTGGAATTAGAGTCATAAATTGTGCTGGAGTGGTTGTTAAGTAAATCACCATGGAATGGAATGGAACGGAACAGAACAGAACAAGGAACGGAACAGAATAGAAATTAGGAACAGAACAGAAGAATGGAATGGAATGGAATGGAATGGAATAGAATAGAAAATAGAAATGGAATGGAACAGAATAGAATAGAATAGAATAGAATAGAAGAATAGAATAGAATAGAATAGAATAGAATAGAATAGAATAGAATAGAATAGAATAGAATAGAATAGAATAGAATAGAAGATTAGGAACAGAATAGAACGGAACGGAACAGAATAGAGATTAGGAACAGAATGGAATGGAAAAGAACAGAGATTAGAAACAGAACAGAACAGAATAGAGATTAGGAACAGAACAGAATGGAACCAAACAGAATAGAATAGAGATTAGGAACAGAACAGAACGGAATGGAACAGAGATTAGGAACAGAACAGAACAGAACAGAGATTAGGAACAGAACAGAACGGAACCGAACAGAATAGAATAAAGATTTTTGAACAGAACAGAATGGAACAGAACAGAACTGAACAGACTAGAATAGAGATAGAGATTAGGAACAGAACATAACGTAACAGAAGAGCAGAGTTGGAAGGGACCTCGGAGGTCTTCTAGTCCAACCCCCTGCTCAGGCAGGAAACCCTATGCCATTTCGGACAAATGGCTGTCCAGTCTCTTCTTAAAAACTCCCCATGTTGGAGCACCCACAACTTCTGGAAGTAGGTCGTTCCACTGGTTAATTGTTCTAACTGTCAGGAAGTTTCTCCTTAGTTCTAGGTTGCTTCTCTCCTTGATTAGTTTCCATCCATTGCTTCTTGTCCTGCCTTCAGGCGCTTTGGAGAATAGCTTGACTCCCTCTCCTTTGGGGCAGCCCCTCAAATACTGGAACACTGCTATCATGTCATTCCTTTACAGTCATTAAGTGAATGTAACTCTCATTCAGCAAGCCCATTGTCCACAATGGGCATTTTTTGCTGGAAACAGAAAATGCCAGTTTCTGGCAAAAAAACCCACAACCCCATAATCATGTCATGTGACTGTGGATGCTGCCATAAATGTGGGCCAATCCCCAGGCTCCACGTTGGGTGGGGAATTCTGGGAGTTGAAGTCCGCACACCTTAAAGCCCCCCAGTTTCAAAAGCTCTATTTCTCCCAGGTGAACGAAGAGAGGCCCAAGAAAAGCTTAGAAAACAATTTTCCAGTTCTGAGTTTCTTTTTCTATTCCACCAGTGGGTCAGACTTTAATCATATGTTATGCAGATGTTTTCTCTCAGCTGGGGCTCCCAGCTGGACGCAGACGCGAAGTGTTTGTTTCCCATAAAGCATTTCCGAATTTTCAAGAAAGAGGTTAGGAAGGAGGGAACTTACGGAGAAGAGGCTCATTGTTGGAGAATGAAATCACATCTTGATTTTGCCCTGGAGTCTCTAAATCTTCTATCCCTGGAGGACAACACTCTGTAAGCTCTTTATTTGGAGCCTGAAATGACATTATTTAAAAAAAATGAACAAAATCAATATATATATATATACTAGCTCAGTGGTTCTCAACCTTTTTAATGCCGCGACCCCAACCGGTCGTAAGTCGAGGACTAAACCGGTCGTAAGTCGAGGACTAAACCGGTCGTAAGTCGAGGACTACCCAACCGGTCGTAAGTTGAGGACTTTCCCTGCCCGGGAGCACCGCGCATGCGTGGNATGACTCGTGGACTTCAACTCCCAGAATTCCTGAGCGAGCATGGGGGAACTATGGCCCCCTCATGACTCGTGGACTTCAACTCCCAGAATTCCTGAGCCAGCATGGCTCAGCTTGGAAACCTCTCCCTTTCCCCTCAGCGTGGCTGGCTCAGGAATTCTGGGAGTTGAAGTCCACAAGTCATGAAGGGGCCCTAGTTCCCCCATGCTGGCTCAGGAATTCTGGGAGTTGAAGTCCACGAGTCATAAAAGAGCCAAGGTTGCCTACCGCTGATATAACCAATACAGTACTTGAGGATGAGCGGTTATTTCCTGTGCATTGAAAATGCGTATCTTCTCCTCGCTGGTGTAAATCTAGAGAGTCCACTGCATGTCGCTGAGCTCTGTGGGATCCCCCAGTCCTCCTTCGGCTTCCAAATAATTCATAAGAACAGCCATGGCAGTCTCTTTTTCAAAATCTAACTGAGAAGGGCCACCTACGGATGGAAAAATAAAATAAAATAGCATAAATGCCGTTATTTTATAGCCCACAAGAAAAACGATAATGCCAAAATGATACTCCATAATTCACTGCATCCAGTTTTGGTCACCACGATGTAAAAAAGATGCTGAGACTCTAGAAAGAGTACAGAGAAGAGCAACAAAGATGATCAGGGGACTGGAGGCTAAAACATATAAGGAATGGTTGCTGGAATTGGGTATGTCTAGTTTAATGAAGAGAAGGACGAGGGGGGACATGATAGCAGCGTTCCAATATCTCAGGGGCTGCCCCAAAGAAGAGGGAGTCAAGCTATTCTCCAACGTGCCTGAAGGCAGGACAAGAAGCAACGGATGGAAACTAACCAAGGAGAGAAGCAACCTAGAACTAAGGAGAAACTTCCTGACAGTGAGAACAATTAACCAGTGGAACAACCTGCCTCCAGAAGCGGTGAATGCTCCAATACTGGAAGTTTTTAAGAAGAGACTGGACAGCCATCTGTCCAAAATGGTATAGGGTTTCCTGCCTGAGCAGGGGGTTGGACTAGATGACCTCCAATGTCCCTTCCAACTTTATTATTATTATTATTATTATTATTATTATTATTATTATTATTATTATTATTATTATTATTATTGTTGTTGTTGTTGTTGTTGTTGTTGCTGCTGCTGCTGCTACTACTGCTACTTATCCGAAGAGATTCCTTCCCCTTTTGGCACGCGAGTTACTACTACTACTACTACTACTACTGCTGCTGCTGCTGCTGCTGCTACTTATCCGAAGAGATTCCTTCCCCTTTTGGCACGCAAGTAGAGTTAGTCCTCAAGTTACGACCACAATTGAGGTCCAAATTTTTGTTGCTAAGTGAGACATTTGTTAAGGAAGTTTCGCCCCATCTGACGGCCTTCCTTGCCCACAGTTATTAAATGAATCACTGCAGTTGTAAAGTCAGTCAAGCAGCCATTAAGGGATTCTGGCTTCCCCCATTGACTTTGCTCGGCAGAAGGTCACAAAAAGAGGATCACGTGAGCTTGGGACACTGCGATGGTCATAAGTACATGCCAGTTGCCAAGCATCTGAATTTTGATCACGTGATCATTGAGATGCTATAACGGTCGGGTGAAAAACGGTCACTTTTTTCACGGCCGTTGTAACTTTAAATGAACTGTTGTAAGTCGAGGACTACCTGTACGACCGTAATTGAGCCTGGAATTAGAGTCATAAATTGTGCTGGAGTGGTTGTTAAGTAAATCATCATGGAATGGAATGGAACAGAACAGAAGAATGGAATGGAATGGAATGGAATAGAGTAGAATAAAGTAGAGTAGAGTAGAACAGAATAGAATATAGGGATGAAGAATAGAATAGAATAGAATAGAATAGAATAGAATAGAATAGAATAGAATAGAATAGAATAGAATAGAATAGAATAGAAGATTAGGAACAGAATGGAACAGAACGGAACAGAATAGAGATTAGGAACAGAATGGAAAGGAACAGAACAGAGATTAGGAACAGAACAGAACAGAACCAAGCAGAATAGAATAGAGATTAGGAACAGAACAGAACAGAATGGATTAGGAACAGAACAGAACAGAATAGAGGTTAGGAACAGAACAGAATGGAACTGAACAGAATAGAGATTAGGAACAGAACAGAACGGAACTGAACGGAACAGAACAGATATTAGGAACAGAGCGGAACGGAACAGAACAGAATAGAATAAAGATTAGGAACAGAACAGAATGGAACAGAACAGAACGGAACAGACTAGAATAGAGATTAGGAACAGAACGTAACATAACAGAAGAGCAGAGTTGGAAGGGACCTCGGAGGTCATCAAGTCCAACCCCCTGCTCAGGCAGGAAACCCTATGCCATTTCAGACAAATGGCTGTCCAGTCTGTTCTTAAAAACTCCCCGTGTTGGAGCACCCACAACTTCTGGAGGCAGGTCGTTCCACTGGTTAATTGTTCTCACTGTCAGGAAATTTCTCCTTAGTTCCAGGTTGCTTCTCTCCTTGATTAGTTTCCATCCATTGCTTCTTGTCCTGCCTTCAGGCGCTTTGGAGAATAGCCTGACTCCCTCTTCTTTGGGGCAGCCCCTGAGATATTGGAACACGGCTATCATGTCACTCCTTTACGGTCATTAAGTGAATGTAACTCTCATTCAGCAAGCCCATTGTCCACAATGGGCATTTTTTGCTGGAAACAGAAAATGCCAGTTTCTGGCAAAAAAAAACCCACAACCCCATAATCATGTCATGTGACTGTGGATACTGCCATAAATGGGGGCCAATCCCCAGGCTCCACGTTGGGTGGGGAATTCTGGGAGTTGAAGTCCGTACACCTTGAAGCCGCCCAGTTTCAAAAGCTCTATTTCTGCCAGTATTACAAGGTGAACGAAGAGAGGCCCAAGAAAAGCTTAGAAAACAATTTTCCAGTTCTGAGTTTCTTTTTCTATTCCACCAGTGGGTCAGACTTTAATCATATGTTATGCAGATGTTTTCTCTCAGCTGGAGCTCCCAGCTGGACGCAGAAGCGAAGTGTTTGTTTCCCATAAAGCATTTCCGAATTTTCAAGAAAGAGGTTAGGAAGGAGGGAACTTACGGAGAAGAGGCTCATTGTTGGAGAATGAAATCACATCTTGATTTTGCTCTGGAGTCTCTAAATCTTCTATTCCTGGAGGACAACATTCTGTAAGCTCTTTATTTGGAGCCTGAAATGACATTATTTTAAAAAAATGAACAAAATCAATATATATATATATACTAGCTCAGTGGTTCTCAACCTTTTTAATGCCGCGACCCCAACCGGTCGTAAGTCGAGGACTAAACCGGTCGTAAGTCGAGGACTAAACCGGTCGTAAGTCGAGGACTACCCAACCGGTCGTAAGTTGAGGACTTTCCCTGCCCGGGAGCACCGCGCATGCGTGGTTCCGCCCCCTGCGCTGGCCGAGGCGTAGCTGGCAAGCGGCAGAGACGGAGCAGGCCGACCACCAGCTGGCCCAGCCCAAGGGAGGTAAGGCACCCGCCGGAAAAGGGAAAAAAAATGGCGGACAAAAAAAATGGCGGACAAAAAAAATGGCGGACAGCCTTGCTTGGCGACCCCCGTGAAATGGTCGATCGACCCCAAATGGGGTCCCGACCCATAGGTTGAGAACCACTGTACTAGCTGTACCTGGCCACGCGTTGCTGTGGCTCAGTCTGGTTAAATGGAAAAGAAAAGAGAAAGCGCACGTTTGTAATATGTTTAATTTCACAATGCTTGTGGGTATGCTTTTACGTCCAACAGATGGCGCTGTTTTTCAAAAAAAGCATGTTTTTACCTGTCACAGGTGTGACATCTATATAATAGTAGGTATATAAAAACACGCGCGTATTCGAATGCAATGTTGTGTCAAAATTTCAAAGCAATCGGTGAAGAACTTTCGGAGATTTAAGATTTTGAACAAACGAACATTTACGTTTTTATTTATATAGATATACAGTTAGTGAAAAAATGGGTCAAGGATTTGATTACAAATAAGAAGAGTATCTTTAATTGTCCCAAGTTACCAATATGGTCTTCATACAGATAATCCTTGACTTACAACGGTTCGTTTAGTGACTGTTCGAAGTTACAACGGCATTGAAAAAGAGACTTGTGACCGTTTTTCACACTTACGACCGTTGCGGCATCTCCACGTGATCAAAATTCAGTGTCTTGGCAACTGACTCATAGTTACGACGGTAGCAGTGTCCGAAAGTCACGTGATCCGTTTTTGTGACCTTCTGACCAGCAAACTCAACGAGGGAAGCCAGATTCACTTAACAACGGTGTGTGTAACTTAACAATTGCAGTGATTCACTTAACAACTGTGGCAAGAAAGGTTATAAAACGGGGCAAAACTCACTTAACAAATGTCTCACTTAGCAACGTAAATTTGGGTCTCGATTGTGGTCGTAAGCTGAGAACTACCCGTACTAATTGTGTACTAATTGTGATTTCCAGGCCATAATTCAAGAGAAAAATATACAGGTAGTCCTCGACTTATGACATTCTTCACCAAAATCCATGCCGTTAACAAGAACAACAATAGTTTATTCAACTTGTAGGCTACCCACCTTGCAAGGACTTTGGGCAGATCACCACAGTCATGCAAAGAATTGACATAAAATGAATAAAAGATGAAATGGCAAGGCCAGATGGAATGAAATAAGGAGTCTTACTCCCATAAAAGGTCTGGGAGAAGAGTCTTCACCACTCTTCTGAGCAGCGTTGAGTAGGGCCACCTGGATCTTGGAGGAACCTCATTCCAGAGAACTGGCATTACTACAAAGAAGAGGCACTTCTGGGATCCCAATAGATGACCTTGTTTAATCAAAGGAACCCAGAGTATGCCAACTTTATAAGATAAAAATGGTTGGGCAGATATTATGAGAGATAGGGACCAGGTCTGACATTGTAGCAGGGATGAAGTCAGCAGTCTTGCTCGGTCTTCCCTCAATGCATACAATGCAATTCTTATTTGTACATCACAACTAATCCGGTTCAGAAGTCTGGATCTTGTTATGGATACTCACATCATCACGACTAACATCTAGGACAGGAGAAGTCTTCCTCGTAAGATCAGTTGGGCTTAACTCACCAAGAGGCGATGCGTGTAATCTAGATAAAGCAAAACATACTATTTGAGTGTTGTTAAAGTATGTATCTCTATCTACCTATATCATTCATCTCTGTCCGTCCGTCCGTCCGTCCGTCCGTCCGTCCATCCATCCATCCATCCATCTATCTATCTATCTATCTATCTATCTATCTATCTATCTATCTATCTATCTATCAATCATCTATATGAAAGAATCCCATACAATGAAGGTTAGACTCCATCCATCCATCCATCCATCCATCCATCCATCCATCCATCCATCCATCCATCCATCCATCCATCCATCTATCTATCTATCTATCTATCTATCTATCTATCTATCTATCTATCTATCTATCTATCTATCTATCTATCTATCTATCTATCTATCTATCATCTATATGAAAGAATCCAATACAATGAAGGTTAGACTTACTCCATCCATCCATCCATCCATCCATCCATCCATCCATCCATCCATCCATCCATCCATCCATCCATCTATCTATCTATCTATCTATCTATCTATCTATCTGAAAGAATCCAATACAATGAAGGTTAGACTTCTAGTTAGAATCTGAGGTTAATGCACAAACAGCAACATAAACGTTTGACCTTCTCTATGGATCTTAGGAACAAAAGTGGAGGAGATAAACTGCCAAGTGACCCGGTCAAAAGTTGTCTAGGGTTTTCAAAGCCCTCAGCCATATTTTGAACTTGGCAATTGCTCTAATTCTGGACTCTTGACTGCCAGATTCTTCACCAACTGCGCTCTCCAGACCAAACCTTGAACTGACCCTCTAAATAAGAAGTCAGTTCTGAATTAATTTCAAGTTCAGAACTACTCCAAAGTAAAGCAGATCAAGCTGTTAATCTGATAATCAGAACAAACAACCAGTGAAAATGGCTTGCCTTCAGAAGCAGTGAGTGCTCCATCACTGGAGGTTTTCAAGAAGAGACTGGACAGTCACTTGTCTGAAATGGTATAAGGTCTCCTCCTTGAGCAGGGGGCTGGACTAGATGACCTCCAAGGTCCATTCCAACTCTGTTATTCTATGTTCTTAGAGCAATGGGACTCATGACCCTGGGACTTGGATGGAATTGCTCAGATTAATACTAGAAGGAAGTTTAAGGTTACCACACTACAATTCCAACAAGTTCTCCTTGAAATGAGATTCCAATAGCAACCTAAGGCAGCAAACAGGTGTTTGTTTTCTCATGTTCTTCTTTCAGCGGAGAAGGAAATATTTTTTTGCAACACTGGGGCAATCTGTATCGGTCCATTATTCTGATCACTGCTATTCCTTTTACGAGCATGAGAAATCTCTCACCAAAATAAAAAAAAATTGGGAGGTTGAGCAACGAAAAACGGAAAAATAAGGAAGAAGCATCGACATCTCTTTTTACATTTATGGTATGTTGCATTTTTAAAAAAGTTTAGATGGCATCCATTTTCTTTTCCAAAAAGAGCAATCCATCTGTAGGACATTTAGAGCCAGAATTGAAGAATGATTTCTGTACCTTTGGAGATCTAACACTTCATTTGCAATTTTGGTTCCTATGCTACCAGCTCCGAGGATGGTCCCTGTAGACATTCCTGGTACATCAAGAAATTGTGGCTTTGGGGTATCTGTATTTTAAGAGAAAATTTTTATCTTTTCTAAAATGAAATGTGTCAAAACAAGAGGATAGATATGTTTTAATATTACTGTACTTCATAGGTTTGTTTTGCATGGCCCTTTACGATAGGCAACCATCAATTTGAATCTTTATGAGCAATATGACATCACCACAGATCACCTCAGATGGGGACTGCAGCCAAGAAATTAAAAGACGCTTGCTCCTGGGGAGGAAAGCTATGGCAAATCTAGACAGCATACTAAAAAGCAGAGGCGTCACCCTGCCAAAAAAAGTGCGTGTAGTCAAGGCCATGGTTTTCCCAGTTGCAATGTATGGCTGTGAAAGGTGGACCATAAGAAAGGCTGAGCGCCAAAGAATGGAGGCACTCAGCCTCCATTGGTGCTGGAGAAGACTCCTGCGAGTCCCCTGGACTGCAAGGCGATCAAACCGGTCAGTCCTAGAAGAGATCAACCCCGACTGCTCTTTAGAAGGCCAGATCCTGAAGCTGAAACTCAAGTACTTTGGCCACCTAATGAGAAGGAAGGACTCACTGGAGAAGGGCCTAATGCTGGGAAAGATGGAGGGCAATAGAAGAAGGGGACGACAGAGAAGGAGGGGGCTGGATGGAGTCACTGAAGCAGTAGGCGTGAGCTACAATGGACTCCAGAAGGTGGTAGAGGACAGGAAGGCCTAGAGGAACATTGTCCATGGGGCCGCGATGGGTCGGACACGACTTCGCAACTAACAACAACAAAATGAAATGTGTTAAAACAAGAAGAGGATAGATTTGTTTTAATCTTACTATACTTTATAGGTTTGTTTTGCATGGCCCTTTATGATAGGCAATTATCAATTTGAATCTTTATCAGTAATATGACATTTCCTTTCAATAAAACCGTGTTCTGACACACAATCATTGGCACTGTTTCAAATTACAATTATGGTTCCTCTTTCCATATTTTTTTTTTTCTTTACTAAATCCAACTCGGGGGAAAAAACCCACCATCCCCCTAAAGATGGACTTGCCTTCTGGAGACAGGGAACCACAGGCTGGTTGGGTTTCTTCACCCAATTCGTTGTGACCTCTAAAAATATAAAACCAAAAATACACAAATAAGCTTCTCTAGCTATAAGTCCTATGCTGCATGCACAATTTGCTGCTTCATGTTAGAGACAAGCAAACAGAAGAGAAACAGGAGTTTCACAAATTATTCTGCAGAAGTAAAAAAAAAAAGAAAAGACAATTTTGTCCTGGCTGAACTAGTCTTAGATTGAAATGGGGGGTTAAATTTTTGGATCTGGCTAGGTTTATAATCTGTTTTGGACTCAATTGCCACTACTTACTAACTAGATAATTAAATGCCGGAGATTCAGTTGTATATCCCTTACAAAACCACATAATGTGATCCTAGCCCTATTTTCTGCATAAACTTTTCACGTAGGTGCTAACTCAGCATCTTTGAAAGTCCTTATTCCAGGGCTGTCCACTTCTAACATCTGTGTAAACTTCTGAATACGTAGTTTCCTCTAAGAACAACTATATTCTTTAATATAGGAAAATAGGAAAATAATTGCTAATCTTTATATCCCTTTTCACTTGTGAAACCATCCAAGAACGATTGAACGATTTATTTATATGTATTCCATCTAATTTTTTTTTACAAATAATAACTTATTTTCTCCTCCTATATTCTCCAAAACAACAATCCTATGAGGTAAGTTGGGCTGAGAGAGAATGACTGGCCCAAAGGCACCTAGTTGGCTTTTATGGCTAAGGCGGGACTAGAACTCACTGTCTCCTGGTGATTTGCCTAAAGTCACCCAATGGCTTTCATAGCTAAGGCAGAATTAGAACTCACTGTCTCCTGGTGATTGGCCTAAAGCAGTGGTTCTCAACCTTTTTAATGCCGCGACCCCAACCGGTCGTAAGTCGAGGACTAAACCAGTCTTAAGTCGAGGACTAAACCGGTCGTAAGTCGAGGACTACCCAACCGGTCGTAAGTCAAGGACTTTCCCTGCCCGGGAGCGCCACGCATGCGTGGTTCCGCCCCCTGCGCCGGCCGAGGCGTAGCTGGCAAGCGGTAGAGACGGAGCAGGCCGACCACCAGCTGGCCCAGCCCAAGGGAGGTAAGGCACCCGCCGGAAAAGGGGGAAAAAAATGGCAGACAAAAAAAATGGCGGACAAAAAAAATGGCAGACAGCCTTGCTTGGCGACCCCCATGAAATGGTCGATCGACCCCAAATGGGGTCCCGACCCACAGGTTGAGAACCACTGGCCTAAAGTCACCCAATGGCTTTCATAGCTAAGGCGGGACTAGAACTCACTGTTGCCTGGTGATTGGCCTAAAGTCACCCAATGGCTTTCATAGCTAAGGCAGAATTAGAACTCACTGTCTCCTGGTGATTTGCCTAAAGTCACCCAATGGCTTTCATAGCTAAGGCGGGACTAGAACTCACTGTCTCCTGGTGATTGGCCTAAAGTCACCCAATGTCTTTCATAGCTAAGGTGGGACTAGAACTCACTGTCTCCTGGTGACTGGCCTAAAGTCACCCAATGGCTCTCATAGCTAAGGCGGGACTAGAACTGAAAGTCTCCTAGTAATTGGCCCAAAGTCACCCAGCTGACTTCCATGCTTAATACTATATAATTAAAATATAAAATAGAGCTAAATAAAAAATATGCTGTTTTATATAGAGTACCGAGAAACTTACAAAACAACGGTATTGATCGACACAATGTATTCCAGTTCTTTGGTCCATGGATTGATGAAGCTAAACCACTGACTTTTTAAGGTGACAAAAGAGCCGCTTTTCGCTTTGAATTTGTAGAAATTGGTAAATATTTTTTCTTTGCTCTGTAACACTGTGGAAAAATAGATTTCACAGAAAAAAAGTTATTCAATAAAACCAAGGTTAATTAATCACTGTGTTAACTAAACGAGGCTTACCGACACGGCAATTTCATGACTTTTAAGAGCTTTATAAGTTCTCTCTGTTAATCTGATTTTGATATAAGAGTTGGGAAGAAATTGACCCATTAAATCCAAAATTCAGCTCCAGGTTTTTGCCAGCCAATGGAAGGGGAGATTAAAAGAGTTCCGTTGTTTTGCTACGATAACTTTCTAACGCTTAAAAATGTGTCACGATATCCGAGCAATCTGATATGTTTGATGGATTTGTGTTAAGATTTGGATCACAGCTCTATGTTCCATTCAACACACCCACAAATTTTCCTTACAAACCTATGCATTGTGGAGACCTTGTCAACCTGTCCATCTGGATATGCGCAATTGTCTTCACTTTGCATATTTTGGAACATAATGAATAAGGCGGAGAAGAATTAAATTCTAAAAGGTAGTCCTCAGTTTAAGACTACAACTGAGCCCAAATATCCTGTTGCTGAGAAAAGGCAGCTGTTAAAGTGAGTTTTGCCTCATCTTACGACCTTTCTTGCCACAGTTCTTAAGTGAATCACTGCAGTTGTTAAATCAGTATCACGGTTGTTAAACGAATCTGGCTTCTCCATTGACTTTGCTTGTCAGAAGATCGCAAAAGGGGATCACATGACCTGGGACAATGCAACCGTCATAAGTACATGCCAGTTTCCAAGCGTGTTAATTTTCATGTGACCATAGGGATGGCGTGATGGTCGTTAAGTGTAAAAATCATAATTCGCTTTTTTTCAATGCCGTTGCAACTTTGGACGGTCACTAAATGAATGATTATGTCAAGAACTACCTATATTTCCTTTTGATAGGCTAAACAACTGCAGAGTTTCTTTGCCTATGTTAAGAACTATTATATGGAAGTCAATTCTACCCAGAACTAAGCAATCCATTGAAATCTTTTTACAAATCCAGTGTACAAAGTGATACATGCTATTTATTAAACCAGTACGTACTAAAAGTTCAGAAGCTTCATAGCAAAATATTTATTCAAGAGTTCTACACTAGAGTTAAGGAACAGCAGCTGTAGTGTACCTGTTTTGTGTTTTTCAGTTAGATGATTGTAGTCATCCTGGTGGAAATATTCATAACAAGATGTTCCTAACAGTTCTTGGGGTAAATAGCCTAAAATTGCTGTTGCTCTGTATTGGGAAATGTAAACATAGTATAATCTACAATCTTCTAACATTAACTTTCCACAGTTCAGTAGCTTTTTTTGTAATATATATAAAATAGAAAACATGTAGGAAAGAAAGGTGATCTGATCTGGTGAAAGACACACCTTCCCCCCACACACAAACACACACAACTTTGAAATTTTTATAACGTCTAATCTTTACAATCTTATAAGAATAACTTTAATTAACTAGAACATTTTGGTTTTCATTATTTTTTTACAAAATTTAAAACACACTGGATACAGCGTTGACCTGCTAAAGAATTGTTTTATATCGCCAATACTTTACTAGAGGTATTATAGAAAATAGAATTCATATTCTAAATATTGAAAACCTTAGCCAAGTGCATTCTAACCAAGGCAATAAGACAAAAATGCTTACCGTTGATCAACAAACACAAATTTTCCATCCATGGCAAAGCGGGTAACAAATTCTGCTGGCTTGACTTTAATCTCAATGTTTTTTTGTGGAATGGTGTAAGGGTGCAATCGGCCGATTGCCACAAGACAATTAAAATTGCCGCTCTCTTTTTCCGTATCTTCTTCAATTCCCACCTCATTTGTGGGCCAGCTTTTCAGATAACCAGTGCAATGAATGGTACAGTACTTTTTATGATCTAATGGAATCAAAACAGAATATATTTTTTTATTTCATTTTTTCCCCCCTGAGTACTACTGAGGGTAGCAGGAGCAGGAAATTGATGCAGAAGGCCACAATCTTTATCAGTAAGATTTGTTTTTAAGCATTATTCAATTTATTTGATCTATGGAAGTGTCTTTCTAATTTTACAAAAAATCGGGGTGCACACGTACATAAGCATACATGAGCCGTGATGGCGCAGTGGTTAGAATGCAGTATTGCAGGCAAACGCTGCCCACAGCCTGGAGTTTGATCAAGGCCTTTCATCCTTCCAAGGTCAGTAAAATGAGGATCCCGATTGTTGGAGGCAAAATGCTAACTCTGTAAACAGGTTAGAGAGGTCTGTAAAGCACTATGAAGCGGCATATAAGTCTAAGTTCTATTCTATTCTATTCTATTCTATTCTATTCTATTCTTAACTCTACTCTATTCTATTCTATTCCATGATGGTGCAGTGGTTAGTATGCAGTATTGCAGGCAAACTCTGCCCACAGCCTGGAGTTCAATCCTTCCCAGCTCAAGGTTGATTCAGCCTTCTATTCTTCCAAGCTTGGTAAAATGAGGACCCAGATTGTTGGGGAGAATAAGCTGACATTGTAAACTACTTAGAGAGGGCTGTAAATCACTATGAAGTGGTATATAAGTCTAAATTCTATTTCTAGTTCTACTTCTATTGCCGTGGTGGCGCAGTGGTTAGAATGCAGTATTGCAGGCTAACTCTGCCCACTGCCAGGAGTTCGATTCTCAGCGGCTCAAGGCCTTCCATCCTGCTGAGGTGGGTAAAATAAAGACCCAGATTTTTTTTGGGGGGGGGGCAATAGGCTGACTCTGTAAACCACTTAGAGGGGGCTGTAAAAAAAGGGGTCCCCAACCTACAGTTCAACCTTTAAGCACATCATAATTCATCAGGATTGCCAGTTAACAGGTCTGAAAGAGAACCGGTTTTTATTTCAACCATACCTTTCTTTTTTGAGTTCGACAAGGACTCCTTCTCTTCCTTGACTGTGTTTTTTGTGTACTTCATGCGGCAAAAAAATGAACGCCGAGCACCAGAATGCAGACAAGAAGATCCCGCTTGGAAATCCACGCGAACTTGCAAACCAGCTTTTCAAGTTCCATCAGAGCAGAATATACAAACATATGTTTGTAACAGAGCCATGAATATTTTGTCACATTAACTCGCTAAATCAAACTGTTATATTGACAGTCCCAGACCAACAAAACATAAGCACAATTTTTTTTTTAAAAAAAGAAAGAAATAGAAAGAAACCAGACCATAAACGGTAACAAGAGAGGGCTATTACCCAGCCTCTGCAAATTATTGCTAGAAATTTGGTAACTTTTACAGTAGTTGTCTAAGTTAAATGCAGGCCAGTTGGCAAGCATCTAAAATGTGGTCACGTGATTGGGGGGGGGGACTGTCAAAACTTAGGAACTGGATCATAAGTAGCTTTTGGGTGGATTCGCCATAATTCAAGGACCACCTGTATGTCAGGACTTTTCTACTAAACTGATACACTGGAGCAAAAGAATGTAAGAAATGGGCACATAATTTAGAACAGGGTTTAACTTTAAGACTTGTGGACTTCAACTCCCAGAATTCTTCAGCCAGACTGGCTGAGGAATTCTGGGAGTTGAAGTCTAGAAGACTTAAAGTTACCAGGTTTGGAGACCCCTGATTTAGAGTAAACACAGTATTCATTTCCTACTCTAAAACATGCATGTTTCCCTTTTTTTTTCATTTCTATCCAGAAGCAATCATATATGCGAAACTTGGCTGATATACACTGTGGGG